TAATGCACATTTTCTGCTCTGTGCCAGGTTCTTATTAGGCTCTCTGTGGCTCTCTCTGGTTCTACTCATGTCCTATAGTAGTTTCATGTAGGCCCTTGTCTGGTTCAAATGTAAAGTGGTATTCAGGCTCTTGTCCAGCCAGACATTTTTTGCACAGGAGAGGTAAACACTAGCATACTTTCACCAAACTGTATCTAAAAAGATTGCTGACAGTCAACAACCACATTCTCACACCGTACCTTTCCCTGTGATATTGACAGTCTCCTCAGATGTACTGATAGTGTTATTAGCCACACATCTGTAACTAAAGTTTCCTTCTTTTAAATCCCTCCTTACTATCCACACCCCAGCTGAGCTGTTTCCATCAGCAACTAGTATTCCATTCTCAAACAACTGATAAGTATGCACTGCAGGTCTACTGTCTGCTGAACAGGTGATACTAATGACATCACCTTCACAGACAGTTGAATCATTCACCAATGGCTTGACAATCTCTGGTTTAACTAGAAAAAGGAAAAAAAAAAGACAATATTTGATTGTGCATCAGTATATATGCACCAATAAATTGAGGGGAAAGGCAGGACAGCAAATTGTCCATGCCAGTGTGGTATACCAAAATTTTTTCTTTTAGGTCCAATGTCACATGGGGATTGGTTGCTCCTCCTTTCCTTTTTGTTTGTTTTTTTTTTTAATTCTGACTTGCTTTTTTGACTTTTTGTAATAATTTGTAAAACAAATTGACAAGAAATGACTAAAATCTTTAATTTGCAAAATAGAAATCTGTAAATTGCAAAATTGCACAAATTATAGAATTACAGAATTCAATTTTTCAAATTACAGATTTTAAATTTGTTTCATTTCTTTTCAGCTCACAAATTACACTAAGCCCCTTTTCCTTTATTTATTCACCTTGAATCTGACAATACCCTATGCTGGGCTGTAAGGCTTTTTAATGCCCTGCTTACATTACCACCATCTATTTGAAATTATTTTTTTTGATAAAAGTGCATTCATGACTATGCAATCATAAAAAACAAGTAAATTCTCATTTACTTCTTTGTGGTTGATTTATGCTTACTTTTCTTGCTTGAGTTTTATTTGTATTATTTTAATTAATTACGACAATCATTCCTAGTCTAGGAAAAAAAAAACCAATTTAAGCTACAACAATAGTTTATCTACTTACAATTAACTTCTACTTTAACTGTGCGATTTGGTGCAGTTCCTATCCCATTATATGCCGTACAGCGATATGTTTCACTTTTAGTTCTGTTGTTTTCAAGGACAAACTGACTCTCAGTTGCCAGTACACCACCATCACTTCCATTGTCATATACTCTGGTCCAGGTGATGTTTGGTGTTGGTTCACCATCTGCAGTACACTCTAAGGTAACACTGGGGTCACCTTCACCTTCAACAAGAACTTCATCATCACTGACGCTGGTGAATTCGGGTTGATCTGTTAAACAAACAAACAATTTTGGGTAGAGTCATACAAATCTCTAGGAAACACTTTATTAAGGTGAGTGCTTTTTCATTAATAAAAGAGTGTTAAAAAACACCAAACCTGGAGTACAGGTGTTTGTTATTCCAGCAACCAAACGCAAAAAGAAAAATGCCAAAAAAAGTTGACAAGAATGAATGCAATGTAAAAACAGGGAAACTTCTACTTAGCAAACATTACCTTTAAACATGTACATTTAAATGTACCATTAATTGGTCAAGAGAGTTGCACTAGATTTTGCATGCGAGACCTACTAGAGGTAACCTTTTCCCTGAAATACAAGTACTTTTGCACATCAAGTAAAAGTATCATCTTTACCATTGGATATCTTCACACCTACATTAGTTATGCACAAAATAATTTTATTTTAGTTTCTTTACTACAAGAAGAATCCTTTTTTAATGGTCATTACTGTTTAAAGAGGTCTGGTGGCTAAGATACACAGTAACTGAGCAACAAACCTGGAAATGAATTAAAAGGACTATATGCACATGCAGTTCTTTAGTTACTAAAAATTGAAGATTGTAAGATTTAAAAGTTTATTTTCCAATGTACGATGTGCCAGCATGTATCTAAACAACCTCAGAGTGGCTATCTACAGTGTAAAAAAACCACTGTATACACTGTCATGCATGTAGCAGCTATTCACAAGAAAAGTGTTATAAAATACCCAAAAGTATATTATTTGCTTAAAGAGATTTACTTGGTGGATTAGAAAATATACTGTATGATGTTGATAGAACATTGGTGGTTGGTTTGGTGCAATTTCAAAACATCAAATTAAAAAAAAATTCAGCAACTAATAATTAGTTATCAAAAAACACAACATACACCTGTACAATGTATTCAAATCTAAAAAAAATTATGCATTATACAGTGTTTTTTAACTTCAAGAATGA